ACACCTGTCTCTCAAACCGAGACACTACTCTTATAAAAAGTCCTCTGAGATCTGGAGGGCCTCTGCAAAGCTTTCCTCAAGATCATCAAGTTCCTTGTTGACTTCCAAATCGTCACAAGCAATCAAGTCTAAAGTTGCCTCACACGTGGGTGAAGTGTCCGGGTGTTCAGATTTCACACAAGAATCAGACTCTGTCCCACCATTCATCAGTTCAGCGACGTCTTCTGACAAGTCCTCCTTGCTCTGAGTCTCCTTTGACCTTTCCCTGCGTAACAGTGATTTGTATTTGTTTGGTTCCTTCAACACTAAGTCCATGGTCCCAAAGAATTCTTCACTTTCTGTAGCTTTTCTTTGCCAGTAACCTGTACTGGTAAACCCAAACTCTTCCATCATGTCAAACTCCTGCACATCCAGGAAGTCTGCAGGTGACTCCGAGCCTGCATGGACCTGCTCTGCCTCACCACACAGGCCGCAGCCGAGCTCTGTCTTCAGCACATCCAACATGTGGCGCATTTTGCCCTAGGGAGTGAAGAAGAAAGGGGTGACACTTATCCAGCCCCACAGCACCTGTGCACTGCTCAAACTCAGAGCTTAACTCTGACAGAAGGAAGGGGAGGCTGCTTGCAAACAAGTGACTAAATTACATACTCAGTGCTACCAAACTGAGTTGACTACTGTCCCTTTTTTGTCACTGTGCCTGAGAATCCTGATCTGCCATGATCCATGAGTCTGCAAATCTCATTTATCAAGAGAGATGCTCCCCACTGAACATTCTGGTTGCATTTCAAATATACCAGTGCATTTCCACTGCACTTTGGAAATGTCACCTAAGTCATATGCAGAGAGAGAGAGCGACTCCAACAGGGGCAGCACCTACCTCATCCAAACAGTTCTTATTTTCTTCTATATGCCCCTCAAACAGTTGTTCCAGAGCCCTACAAATGAGAAATTAAATTATTTCACAGGAAGAAAACCAACTTATAGCAGATCTATATAAATTAATGACTATAGTTTTTTATTTTCATCTCTTAGCTGAATGGGACTACAAAGACTGTTTTGATTATGCTGTCACAAAGAGGTCTACCCATAGTTGGTGAACCACTGGACATGAGCTCAGCAGGCAGACCCAGGTTTGGGCAGCAGATGGTAATCATGGGGTGATTTGTAGCACAACTTTGTGTGTGTTTGGTCTGTTGGCTCTACGTACTGGGAGAAACCAACAATCCAGTAGTGGTTCTACTGGCATGCTAAAGTATCCAAAATCTCTTAGGTGCACCATAGTGGCTGATATACACGAAAGTAAATAAAGGAAAAGAATAAAATACAGCTTCATAAAAAAGAATCATCCAGAGAAAAGTCCTCAGTCCTGAAAGCTCTCTTCCATTGCCTAAACAGAATGAGAAAAAAATTCTGTAGAGAAAGTGTTCTGTGACAGCTAAAGTACACAGCCACTGGAACAGATTTCCAGCAACTCCAGTAAATTTCATGCAGCTTAAATAAGACATTATTAAAAAAGAAAATAGTACAAGAAGGGTGGTAATCAAAGCAACTTTAATGCAAAAAAGAGCCAGAGGGAAACTGCTCTCAAAATTTCTTAGTTTTTTTACTTAGTGTACTTAACATTCTCATTGCTAGCCTTGACATGAGAAGAAAAGAATGAGAAGCATAGAACAGAAAATCAGCTGGGAACATTATCAACCCAGAGGAAGATGAGAATATTATGAAATTAGACTGCCCTGAATGTGGAATTACAAAAGTGGGTCAAAATTCTCTGTGAGAAATACTGGAGGTTTTTTTGCATAAGCTCAGAGTTCTTTATCAGAAGGAGTTGGTATGGGACAGAAACTGGGAGTACTACCCATATACATTACTAATTTTTGAAAAAAAACCTGATTTAGCAACCGGTGAACCTTTATCTGCAACAGAATGTTGAAGACTGAATTCATATTGGAACAGGAACAAGGACAGAAGGGAGATGGAGGTCCTGTTGTGTGAAAGATTAGTAACTCAGTTTATTTAGGAAAACAGATGTTTCCAGAGTAAAATGATTCCTTCTTAGCATTATTCCTCCTAGGGTTCCAGGTCCATTTCTAACAGAAGCTTTTATCTCATGGTACATAGCAGCAGATCTGAGTAGATGACCCCTGGGTATTTCCTGTCTCCCCTTCTTACCCAAAACAAAAAAAGAAAAGGAAATAAAACAAAAGCAAGGGGTGACGGTGTATATATATTCTTAAAGGCAAAGAAATGATTACCAATCACTGCTCTCCTTTCTTATGGAGTCCATGTGTTTCTGGCCCAGCATAGAGAAACTGAAAACAACTGTAACCCACCTGTTAGAAAATAGCCCAAGGCTAAGAATTTCATTTGTTACATCTTTAATGAAGGTTAAATATAGAAGCTCCTCTTCTCTGCAGGGAGAATAGAAAACCTAATGTTAAAATCTTTTACAACAAAGACACAGATGAAGCAATGCAGTAGGTCTAATCACCTTCATGAGAATCACAGAATCAATCGTGTTTGAAGAGACCTCCAAGATCACCGAGTCCAACCCTACCGTCGTTACTAGACCATGGCACTAAGTGCCACATCCAGTCTCAGCTTGAAAACCTCCAGGGATGGTGAATCCACCACCTCCCTGGGCAGCACATTCCAATGCCTGATCATTCGCTCTGTAAAAAATCTTCCTAATATCCAACCTAACCCTCCCCTGGCAGAGCTTGAGTCTGTCCTTCTTCTGAAGTTATAATGAATTTTCTTCATTTTTAGATTCATATAAAATTTTTAAGTATTATATAAAAATTCATAGTCATGTTAATTCTTTTATAAATTGTGAACAAGCTCATTATGAGCTCTCATTTAGTGTTTCAAGTTTGTCAGTTTTGAGGAAAACTTTCTAGTTTAATGTTGTAAATGAGCAGAAAAATGGTTTGAGTGTACTTACTTAGCCTTGATAGACCTCCTTAGTGAAGACTGCTGAGAATACAACGATGTCTCCCTAATCAGAAAATCAGAGGGCAAGAAAGAGAACAACACTCTAAATCCCTGCACCTCACTCTCTTCTGGAGCCATGCTGTGCTATTATACCACTTCCTCTTGGACAAAACCCACGAGAACATCCCCAAACTCTGCTCCAGTAGCAAAATCCACTGATTACACTGAAGCATGAAAGACTGTGGTTCAAGAGTATCACAACACCTCACGAGATGCAGAGCTCCACTACCTCAAAAGACCTCAGAGTTACTTCAGATGCTATCTGACCTCCACTCTCCATAAGATTGCTTTTTTAACTCAGAGGACATTTTCTTCCTCAGATAAAAATGCCTTTGTATGAAAAGGTCAGAGAGCAGATCAGCGAGTCATGCATGACACTGAGGTCAGCAATGAGGAGAATCAGCTTGGAGCTCTTGGGTTCTGGCCTGATTTCCAACACTGCTCTTGTACTGTAGCAATATTCTAAATCTCAGTGTTACACTTTCAGAAAAACATGTGGAAAATGCTTCTGGTCTACAATTCTCACATACCATAGAATCAAAAGTGTCTGGAGACACTTCTCCCTGAAGGGAAATACCAATTGGAATACCAATCCAGTATTTAGTTATAGTACTATATAGCCTGTGAGCTCAGATGTACAGAACTAACAGCTGTACTAACATGTCATTAGTCTCACTCCTGACATAAGTACTCACATATTTCAGAGCTCTCTTTCTTAACTGGCTTCCCAGTGGAACTTTATCATAATAAAATAATGAATTTTGGTGTTGGGAAAGGCCATTGATGTAAAAAACCCAACCAACTGAAAGTCCTGTGAGAAGATACTTATAAAGAGAAATGGCAGCAAGGGCTTATAGCCTAAGGAGCAGCTGCATAGAAAGCAAGAAGAAATGATTTAAATATTCCTTCCTGCTGTAAATCTGGCACCTTAGGATGGTGAATGGAAAAGCATCTATTTCTCTCTCAGGCTTAGCCACAGTATATCTTCTGTCTTCAGCCTACAATACAGAGATAAAAAAATCTTTATTATCTGTGCAAACACATGACAAAATTTACCATTCAAATTAATCTAATAAGTCTCTGTGATTAAGCAGCCCTATTGGTTTTATGTCTTTTCTGAGACACTCTGGGTAAACTGAGACATACGGCAGCAAAGGATACCTTTTTCTTCTGAAAAATCAGATACCAACCCTCTAGGTCCTTGATGGATATTTGATAGTGCACTTACAGAAACAATTGAAAAAATTAAAGAGATCTCTTCACATGCTTCAATACTTTTTCTTATTGTTTCCACTCATTCTTCTGCAACTCTCTCTCCTCTACCTAATTCACTGCCTGGCAATACAGAAAATGAAACCTAAACCAGCTGCACACTGCTGTAGCAGTGCTCAAGTGTATACCCCATAATGATGGTGAGGGGTGTGGTAAGAGTATCCAGAGGACTGATATATGTATTCTTACCTTCAACGTGATCTTCTGCTGTTCAGCCTTAACTCTTCTCTCAGACACTTTGTCTGCAGTTGGAAAGCTACAAAATTAAGAGAGATATTAGATTTCCAAGTAGGTTACTTTCAAAATATGTAGGATGAGAACACCAGTGCCACTGTGGAAGTTTCCCAACAGTCTGAACAGAACCTGGTACTGGACAATTGAGAAAATTTCTGCCAGACTTTTGTTCACATAATAAAACTAAGTCATAGTTAATTCTGAAGTCATACATAGGTGATTCAAATCCATTATTTGGCTGCACATTTACAGGGGCAGCTAAACTATCCAAAATAATTGTTCAGAATTAAGAATGGAGATGATCCTAAAATTAAAAGTGCACCAGGAAAACAGATGACCCACAGCCAGAAAATCAATATGGAGCTGAAGCTATCATAATTCCAGTCATAGGAAATTCCTAATTTGTTTCATGACAAAACCAGAGTTAGACATGCAGGCACTGAGGACATGGAAGGGAAAATATTTCTTGCTATGAGGTAGTATCAGTAAAAACAAAGCTAAATCAAAACTGCTCAATTTGCTAAGAAGTTCAATGCAAGACAAGGACACTAATTTTCTTAAAAATATTTTGCACAGGGTATATCTGAAGGTATTTAAATTCAAGTGATAAAAAGACAATGAAGAGCTGCATTCGAAAGTTAAAAAAAAAGATCTTTGCATGATGTATTATTAACAAACTGGAAAGTATGAGACTACAGGGGCAACAGTGGGGAACTACTTGCATTCTTACACTGGTTAATTCTTTACAAGACAGAAAGCACAAATATACACCAGAAAGAGCATAGGGAAGCGAGAGGGAATGACTATCACCATCAGATGTGAGATCTCAGAGTTTGCATTTAGTGGTGCTTCATATCCAATTTGTACAGATGAAACCAGTTGCTCCAGAGAGAAGACAAAATACTCCAGTGAAAAAAAAGAAAAATCATGTTCTGTTCTAGCTTTTCCTAAGGCATATCTAGAATAATTTCAGAATAATTATTCTGTTTTTAATCAAATGCAAATGAGAGCAAAACATGTTGCTTTTATGAAAATACTGTTATGATAACATCTAAATTTCAGTGTTTCAAAATAAAGTTTCAATCTCTGTACCTGATAACATCAGTCTGTGTTTGAGCTTCCACATGCTGCTTGCAGTTATGTTTCCTTTTTCTTCGAGCAGGAGTGTAATACTTGTACTCTGGCAGGAAAGATTTAGCATCTGATATTAAGGTGCGTGGAGTGAAAGCTTTTTGGCTCTTAGTAAAGAATTCAGAGTGCCTCTCTAGAAGATCCCCACTGCACACTTTGGAGTTGCTTCCTTGACGCCTCTGTGAATGAGTAATGCTCACAAAACTATCAGTGGAGCGACTGCATGAAGATCCAGTGTGTTTTCTTGCTGGCCTTGATGTACTGATACTTGAGCTAGATGCACTAGATGTATTTCGAGAGCCTTTTCTGCCATATTTTACTGGACTGGAGTGAACCAAGCCATGACCACCATAAGGAGACAGAGCTCTTGATAGGTACGGTGCCTGCCCAGCGTAGGGAGAGAGAGTGTCTTTGTCTTCTGCTTCCAAGAAACTCTAGGAAAAAAAAAAACCAAAAAGATTTGATTGCTTTGCAAGTGACCAGATTTTCTCATGATGGCACTCCCAGCTATTGTGACCAACTCAGAGGTATTTTCTATTTAAAAACTTTCAATTTTTGTGAAATCAAACTAGTTTCAGAGCAGCCCCAGTGCCAAGAGATTTTAAAAGAAGTGAGAAATAAAAAAACAGTTTGCTTCAGCAGCAAAACACTGGTGCTCTGTTACAGAATATTGATGGCTACAACAAACCATGAGTTTAATCATTTTAGTCCAAAGGCTGAAAACAGTTTTAGAAGTCAGGGAATCATTGCACTGAGGCAAATTATTTTATCTGGATATGCTCTGTTCATACCACCTGTGCAAGGTAAGGCAGACATTACTCACAGTTATCCTATGCTTAAAAATTTCACATTATTCCTGAATTGTATTATGACACCATGGCAAAAACAAGTAAGACAGAAATATAACTAAAGACTGGAACATTTATGCTTTGAAGCTGCAAATTTTTCAAAATTCTATGACAGAAATAAAATTTCTGTTTCATTGTTCTTTCCCCATTTGACCAAAAAAAAAAAAAAAAGCTTTACATGTCACTTAGATTTAGCTGTGTTCCTGTCTACCTCCCCACTAGACCAGGTTGCTCAAGACTATTGGCAAAGAAAACCTGCCTATCAACAAACAAAATTTTATGGAAACTTACTTATTTCATCCACATGTATAACTATTTGTGAAATTCAAGTTCTGTTATGGAGAAGAGATGACTCACACTGTGTATACTCAAACTACTAAGCAACACAACTCCCAGAGACAAAGCTTACAGTGCAACAGTGAGGGAGATGAGCTGAAGACAGTGTTATGCTGGAAAATCTCATTGCCATCCCATGCAATCAGTAAAATGTAAAGCAAAGTAACAGCTAAAATAAAACAACTGAGAAAATCCAATTCAAAACCAACAGCTAACTTTCAAAAGTTATTATCGCACCTTCCTTACACTCAGACAGGTCCAAATCAACAGCAACAAAGTGCTGGAAGACTTAAGAGAATGTATAAAAGTAGAGGTGTTTCCTAAGAAGAAAATTAAATTTCTAAGGGCAATTGAGGTTTTTAACAAACCTGAAGTTTAGGTTCAGATAGGCTAACACAGAGATTAACTTGATGTACCTCCACCACTTGAACAAAGAACAGGAAGATAAGCAGACACCTGTACAGGCCATAAGCTCTGCAGGTAAAAAAGGGGAGAAAGGGAAGGGGATTTCCATATGTGTTTTATTCATCTCTATTATGCTTCCTCTATCAAACAAGTAAAAACTATTAAGCACAAGCATTACATTACTGAAGTCACTGCAGGAGTATCTTTTATAGAAAGCCTGAGAAAGAATGGATCCAGTATATTTATGTGGAAACTATTTTGAGAGACTAACACTGAAGCACAGATTTAGCAGTGTGAGCACAATATAAAACTGGAGAAAATTCTCAAGAACATTTAATTTTAAAAAATAATCAGCTGATTAAGATGTGGATTGAAGGCTGGATGTGTGATTTTCCCCACCATGATGTGGCAATGGACTCTGCCAACAAAAGCGACAAAAACAACTGTAAAAGAAAGTACCTGTAGGAATTCTGCAAGATAATCAATACTTTTCCTGAGACTTCTGAAGTCTCCTACTGGGGAGGCAGGGAGGGAAAAAAGCCCCAAATGAAATTTGGAAATCCTTATACATTTAATGAAAATTTGTGATATTCTAACCTACTAATAAATAGTATAGGATAGTAATATATGACTAGCAAACCAGTAATATATAATATAGTATATTAACCTCTGTAATTCATAGTATAGTTTGTAAATATAAACAGATTTTCAATTCTACCATTCAATCCTAAAAAAGGTGTTCTTAAAAATTCTGAGCAATAGAATATACTGTATAAATGAGCATTTTCTCATAACTCTGTTACTGTTATTGCTAGGAATCTACAGTGTTCCATTTTTTTCTTTCAGAAATACTGTTTTAAATAAAAGTTCAAATATGATGAATATACATCTTGTGGCTGCAGTAAATGCTATTTAGAAGAATATTAAAAATGCAGATATTTTACTGTGAAAAGTCACAGATCATACTGCTGTCATACTGCGCTGGTTTGGGTTGAAGTGGAGGTAACTTTCTTCACAGAGGCTAGTATGGGGCTATGTTTAAGATTTGTGCTGAGCACAGGGTTGATAATGCAGAGATGTTTTTGTTATTGCTGAGCAGAGCTTACACAGAGCCAAGGGCTTTGCTCCTTCCCATACTGACACACTGGCAAGGAAGTTGGGGATGCATGGGAGACTGGGAGGAGACACAGCTGGGACAGGTGACCCAAACTGACCAAAGGGATATTCCATACCATAGGACATCATGCTCAGTGTATAAAGTGGGAGGAAGAAGGAGGAAGGGGAGGACATTTGGAGTGATGGTATTGTGATGGAGTGATGGTATTGCCAAGGAACCGTTACGTGTACTGGGGCCCTGTTCTCCTGGAGATGCTGAACACCTCCTGCCTGTGGGAAGCAGTGAATGAATTCCTTGTTTTGCTTTGCCTGTGTGTGCAGCTTTTGCATTCTCTATCAAACTCTCTTTGTCTCAACCCATGAGCTTTTCTAGCTTTTACCCTTCCGATTCTCTCCTCCATCCCGTTGGTGAGGGAGTGTGTGAGCAGCTGTGTGGTGTTTGATTGCTAGCTGCGGTTAAACCACGACACATACCATACATTTCCTTCACATTAACTTTCTCTCGTGTCAGTAAGGAATGAATTCTTTGCTTTGCCTGTGTGTGCAGCTTTTGCATTCTCTATCAAACTCTCTTTGTCTCAACCCATGAGCTTTTCTAGCTTTTACCCTTCCGATTCTCTCCTCCATCCCGTTGGTGAGGGAGTGTGTGAGCAGCTGTGTGGTGTTTGATTGCTAGCTGCGGTTAAACCACGACACATACCATACATTTCCTTCACATTAACTTTCTCTCGTGTCAGTAAGACCCATCTACACTAGTATAGTATCAACTCTCTTTGTCTCAACCCATGAGCTTTTCTAGCTTTTACCCTTCCGATTCTCTCCTCCATCCCGTTGGTGAGGGAGTGTGTGAGCAGCTGTGTGGTGTTTGATTGCTAGCTGCGGTTAAACCACGACACATACCATACATTTCCTTCACATTAACTTTCTCTCGTGTCAGTAAGACCCATCTACACTAGTATAGTATCCCAAAACATCCACAGTTGCTGATGGCTAAAGCAAAGAGCTTTTTTTTTTCTGTTAGCTGAGGGAAAATAAGCCTTTCTTGATGGCGTCTCATGTGAGACACCACTCATGTATTTTACTACTACAGCATAATTAAATGCTGAACTGATAACACGCAGCAACAATGCCAAACAAATGCCTGTGTTAGCAAGCAGTATAATGAGGCTTACCAGTGTGATTGTTTGCATATAAAGTACTTGCAGTCGTAGCTCAGCACTATAGAAAACAGATAAGACTGGAAAGTTTCAGAATCCACCTATACAGATGTTTTGAAAAGCTAAATCCATAGCCTTCAATGTGTATTATAACCAGCTAAATTCTTCTTGTAAACATTTTTACTCTATGTCTAAATCAGTTCATGGAGCTGTGATGTAAATTGGATTGTAGAAGCATTTGTGAGCACATGATGATTGGTTCTCTGCACTATGCAAAATGATAATTAGAAAAATATATGAAATTATATTAGCCAATTGCTCAACTAGACCTCTTGAAAGTGACATGTTCTATCCTTGGAAGCAACAGAGCTGATCCTAAAATCAGACGAAGGTAGAGGGTTGACATCACACTATCCTAAATTTAAGCATTCATTATATATGAGGAAGCTCAGAGCAGTTCTTTTCTTCTCCTCCTCAAATGTTTCCTAAGTAGAACAGATCAAGCAGCTCTCTAGTGACTAGAGAGAACTTCAACCCCAGGCCATATTTGTGTCAGCCATGAGATGCACCTGTTCAAGTACTGAGAAATCTTTGAAAGACTTTATCCTGGGATAAAACTTTACTGCCCAAACAGGTAGGAGGTTTAGCCTCCAAACACACAAAGAAACAACATCAGGAATAAGGAACTGTGTTGGTGACTTCAAAAGATTTTAAAGAGTGTCAGAGAATACTGTTTGTCTGCAATTTGTCTCTGAACTTTGAGAAAATTATTTGTACACCTGTGTTGGTACAGGCAAATAAACTGTAAGCAAGCAAGTTAATTTTCTTCTCTATTCTCTATCTATAAAAATATCAGATGTTTAGCTAGGAAACAAATAAATAGAAAACAAAATCATGCCTGCAAATATCCAGTAGCACACTGATAGTTCTAATCTTCAGATATAATTTAAAAAATATTCCATGGTAGTATCACAGCATTAGATAGCAGAATGATCAAGAACTATAATGTAATTTGGAGTCAAAAATCTTGAGTCATATCTTGCTTACCAACATATGTTCCTATTCTATTGATTCAACCAACTGCAATTTGTTTGGAAAGATAGAAATTTACTCAATGATTCATTTTGGCAACACCTTTAAAAGGTTTCATAAATTATGTATTTATGCTTCAGTTTGATTAGTCACGAAACTGGGGTAAATTGAATAGTACTTACAGCAAGCTTGTATAGAGAGGACTTCTAAATCTTCATGGACCCAGTGGAAGAGAAAATTCAGAAAAAACAGATCAAAGCATACTGCTGTCATTTGATGGGCAGGAGTAAAACAATGAATCCAGATTTCTTTATAAGTTACTTTTACTTTCTAAAAGAAGTTTAGTTTCTCAACTTAAAAGCCACTGAAGTACCAGCTGCTTTATAAAAACCTAACTTTGAAAAGAAATCTTGCTAAATCCTTTTTCACACAAAAGGTCCAAAGGCAGCTCTCAGTGGGGTCACCGAAGCTACACTAAGATGAATTTAAGTCTTGAAACTAACTTGCTCTTGTATGAAAAGGTCTTCCAATAGAAAAGTTTATCTACCATCATAAAATGAGACCAAAGAGATGCTTTACAAATCACACTGTCAAGATACAGAAACTGCAATTTTGCAATAAATGAGCATCTGATTCTCTTGAGACAACTCCATTTGCAAACCACTTAAATATGGCTGTAAGTGGGCTAAGTGCCTCTCTCCACTCCCGGACAGAGCAAAGGTCTTCTGTAGTAAGCAACATGCTGCTTTTTGAGTTGCTGCTTTCATAAAACCCTAGTGTATCATCTATTTGCTTCATCTCACACTTTGCTAATGAGTTACAAATTGAGAAAGGTAAGAGAGAAAATTCACATGAACCAATAATAACTAATTTTATCTTTCAAAACCATGTTCCTGTTACACTTTTTAGTTTTGTGAGTGTGTGTGTGTGTATCAGTTGTATAATGTGGTAGGTTTCTACTGTTATCAAATACTGTGAGGTCATTAATAAAGGATATTTTACTGATTGTGCACGTGGAAATGCATTCATTCAAACAACCAGCACAAGAATTGATTGCCACTATGAAGCCCAAAAGGAAATCTGTACTGAACACTGCTGATGAAAACAACTTTCTTTGTTGCTCAGAAGGTCTTTGTTTGGTCACTTACATCATTTACATACTGACAGAACTAAATCAAGAACAATAACTCTTCAGACTGCTAATATCTTAACAGTATATATAATAAAACTCTAAATATAAAGCATCTGAGTAGGAATTTCACACTGCCACGTGTGCTGCACACAAAATTAACAAGGAAGACTAGAAACAGTTAATGATGCTCTCTAATCTGTGTGTCATGTGCACAAGCAGAAGGCCATAACTGTCATTCTTCAGAAAACAAAAGGTCTCAAAAAACAGACTGAAAGGGATCTTGAAATGTCAAGGCAATGGCAACCATACTTCAAGCAGCTAAAAGAGAAAATTAACCTCCTGTGAAGCAGCCTTCCCTCAACTGGCTTTTGGCATGGATTAATTTCTGTAAAAAAATTAATTAGGAGCCAGAAATGCCTATTAATAGGATTACTTGAACACGGGACATGAAATACCAAGTGTTGTTCAAATCAGAGATTTTACTCATGGCCAGCTCAATTCAGGTTTTCTTGCTTCAAGGATAAGTCATATTGAGCTTCATGCAATTTGACCTGATGAATAATTCAGATGAATGTTCAAAAACTCGAATCATATTTACTTAGAAAAATAAAAATTTAAAATCTACGGATTTCGGTATGCACAGACGTCACAGTCTTTTCCACTCATCTGTCTAATTAAGTCTCTAAATACTCATTTAAAAATTACATATTCACGAAGACACAAACACAAAGTTATCAGCCCTTTCAGCCTCTGCATTTGTAATTTAACATCCTATTCTGATTAACTGCCACACATGGTGTTAACCACCATTACTATGCTACATGGAAAGAGAGGAGCAGAAGAGAAGTACAGTTGTCCTCAGGGCATCTTATGCTTCCCTGTCCCTCTGCTTTACCATGAGAGGCAAACTACTCTCCTTGAAGTAATTTAGTTTCTATGTGTCCCACAGATCCAAAGGCTGCTCCATTGTGCCACACAAGACCCAGCCTGCTCCTGAGCTTCCCACTCAGGTCTTCTGCTAGAAGTAGAGAAATCCATGATGCACCATAAGCATCTATCACATCTTAACCCACAGCTGTGGACCCAATATTTTAATGTCTAGTAAAAATACTCTCTTTGATTAATATCACTGATTATTTCAACAGGTCAGTAATGAAGTATAGGTAACCACTACAAAAATAACTTTCTCTGTTCATTACATATCATGGCAGATTCTCACATTACAGTAATTTTGCATTTATAACTACATATAAACAGACAAAAAATTCACTGTTCTGAAATCACTGTGCATTTAAACCCTTTTACAAAACAAAGAGCAGGCCAGTCAGGTTCAGGGCACATTTCCACTATTCAGTTTCATAGTTAGCTCAGTGTGTAACAAAATACACTAATTAAATCACACATATTTTAAGAAACATATAACTTGTATTCTATAATTTAGAGAAATTATTTTTGCTTCTTTTTGGTTTTACTATGCACAAAGCTGAGTCTCAGTTGAAAACAGCTTCTGTGCTCTGTTGCAAGTATTAAATAATAATACATCCAGGTACATGAAAAATGAAAATGATGAAATAAAGGCACCAGATGTATCAGAATGCATAAAAAGTGAATGCTAATGAAAGAAGCCACTTGAAAATAGGAAGTCAGGTGCATACAGCAAAGCTGGTGAGCACATATTTAGCCTACAATCTAGTCAGCCATTGACCTTGTCAGGATTACAAGGGTTATTATATCTTTATATACATATATATATATATGTATGTTGCTCTCAAATTGATATATATTTTACAACACATTTACATGTTATTAGGCAAGAAATTATGCATTATGGAAGTAATTTCTACCTTTTGTATCTTACATTTAAATGTAACAGTGGCAAAACCAGGAGAATACTGCTTGCCTCTTTTGCACACCCTTCTGTTACCTTGTAAGATGTTTATAAAGCACAGGACCATATTCTAGGCTTGACATTACCTTCTTGGAAACCCAGAGTATTCAAAGGTTGACTGCTTCAAATTTGGGCTGAATCTAATCCCAACCCAGGAGTATCTTAATTCAACAATTTTTGGAGCAGTTCCACAAGTAGAGCTTTTCCCTAATGCCAGCAGCAATAATATGATTACCGAGTGGAAAAATCCTCTACATTGTATTCTTTAAGAGGCATTAGGAATTTGTCTTCCAGCTGTCACTGATCAATATATCCTGATGGCTACAGAAATAGAATTAGCGTGTCTAAATCAGCCTCACAATGCATTAAAGGACATCTAATCATGGAAACAGAGCAACCCTCGTTATATGAACGAGCATAGAAATCCAATGTCTGTTTTGGCAAATGAAGTAAACTTTAAGTAGAGCTTCATTTTTAGCACAAAAATATGCCAGCCCAATGACCTGCACTGCCTACCCCTCTATCAGAAGGCTTTTTCACTTCTTACAGACTCACTGTGCTCTTATACTACAGTGAAACATATTTTGTAAGTCCAGCAATCAATGATTTGATTAACAAAGTGCAAAGTAGTATTAGAGTGAAGAACAAAGAAACTCTTTGAATTTGCGAAGTTAAAAAAACCCAAACCCCACAACCTGGAGGCAAAGTATTATATCCAAAAATTACTTTTTATGTGTGGTTAAACATTCACTTGGTGAGCCTCCCAAAGTCACTTCTCAAAAGATGCTTTTCACCTGATAACTCAAAATCGACTCAGATAGTTTGTTGAATTATACCCCGAGGCTGCTAAACATAAGGAAAGCTGCAGTTTCTGTTGGTGCGACACACACCACACTTTTCAAGACAAATGTTGGTAGTAAGGCAGCTGAAAGCAACTAGAATTGGGACAGATATTGCTTTAGAAATACCTTGTTTTGAAAAACAAAGGACAAAAGTGACAGTCTGTTAGAGTGCATCCCTTCATTTTAAAACTGAGAATTTATGCAGGAGTTAGAGATGCACACACTGCTTGGGTTTGCAATGAAACAATTTAAGGTACTTCTTCTACCCCTAGTTTGCAGCAAATAATAAGGAAGGCCAAAAAAGTTAACAAAATGCAACATTTGGATTCTACGTATGACATTTCCTTCCTTTACTCGTGCATGCCTGTGCTTTCACCCATAACTAAGAGCCATGTATTGAATTTCAAAGCATTATTTCTCTGCACTGCAGTAATGTCACACTCAGGCTGCCTCCTACAAAAACCAGTCACACAGAAAGAAACCAATGGTGAGTTTTCTGTACTGCTTGGAAATGCCCTTCAGCTCTACACATATCTAAATAACATTGCAGTTAAAATCAACAGAATTAAAACATCATTCTGCTTTAAGCTGCAATTGCTCCTTTACATTGATGAAGAAGAGAATGCAATTTATTAGGCTATTTATTTATTATTTGGAAAGATATACCATATATCTGGATGAAATTCCAGCCAAAACAAGTGAACTTATGTACATAAACAGAATATATATATATACACATACACACACACAGAACAGTATATTCTGATGATTTAAATACCATTTTCACTTTGAATGATTGCAAGTCACACATGTAGTATACTGTTAGATATGAAATGTTTTTCCAAACAGGACTCTGGATAAAGAAAAAACCAGCTGATTCTTGAATCTTCTGCATGGAAGGTTAGAAGTAACTAGAGTTCTGCCTTAGGAAATGGTAGAAAGCTCTGGAGTGACAGAGAGGACATAGGAACTTCAGCTGAGTTGAAAGGGAGAGAATTCAAGGGTAATTAGAACTTGTATTTACTGCAAGCACTCTTCATCCAGACATGCATTCGGTGCTGGGCACATGCCAGGCGGACCCTTGTCTATTTTCTGCTGCTTAAAATATGCCAGTCCTCACCCTGGAGCAGTGGTCAGCTGTTATTATGGGAGAGAGGTATATGATAATATCTACTAAACAAAATTAAAACATCTACCTTTCCCAAAGAGGACGCCAGCAGCCTGCTGCTCCCTCTTGAGCTGCATCGGGAGGCAGTTTTATACACACTCATTTCCTCTTCACACCTGGCTATCTTCTTTTTCAGTTTCTCTCTTCTTTGCTGGTCAGCAACTTAGGGAAGAGACAAAGTTTGTCAGACCCAAACTGAAATACTCTTTTTCTTCCTAAGTGATTTGAAAACATCATAGTGGTTTCCAACTGCTCACTAAAGTCAGGCTATTGAGATGTTCCACTTCCAACACACAGCAGTTACGAAATTTACATCTATTCTTAGAAGAAAAATAATAAAGTATGCTGGTAGCTAAAGCTGTGTATGAGCTGAAGCTGTGCCTTAGCTTTCCTGAAGCATTCTTATCTCACAACAAACACCAGCATACAGGAATTACAAGATCAGTATGGCTAACAGAGCACCCTGCTCAAAAACTCACAAGCTTGCTATCAATTTTTTACAGATAAAACTCCTGTGATGGTACTTTCGTCCAGTATTTCTGAAAAAAAACGTTTCCTGTTAGTAAATTGGACATGGAAAAAAATCCATGCTCCCAGATACAGAAATCCAGGGCAAAACAAGCAAGTTCATGTCAAGAACATAAAGAAATTAAGGCAAACTCTGAAAGGGCCACCATCAAATGGGGGTGGGGAGCATTTATTAGTCCACACAGGTCTGCAGTATGAGACCTTGTCTGCAGTGTCAGAAGACAAGTTATGTATCCATGTCATCAGATAAAGGAAGGAGCCCAAAAGATAGGTAAATTTTCTGTGTTTAAGTTTGCCATCAGTCACCTTAATCTCCTACTTTACATAATAGAGTCCAAAGTTTTTGTATATGGTGAGCACCCAGGTGTCACAGATGAATCATAGAATCATTTAGGTTAGAAAAGACCTCCAAGATCATTAAGTTCAACCTTTGACCCATCATCACCTTGTCAACTACACCACAGCACTACATGCCACATCCAGTCGTTCCTTGAACGCATCCAGGGTGGTGGTGACTCCACCACCTCTCTGGATAGCCTGTTCCAATGCTTGACAACCCTTTCCATGAAACAGTTATTCCTGATGTCCAGCCTGAACCTCCCCTGGCACTGCTTAAGGCTATGTCTTCTTGTCTTGTCGCTAGTTGCCTGGGAGAAGGGGCTAATCCCCACTTTATTACAACCTCCTTTCAGGTAGTTGTAGGGAGCAATAAGGTCTACCCTGAGCTTCCTTTTCTCCAGCTAAATACCCTCAGTTCCCTCAGCTGCTCCTCATATGATTTACTCCCCAGACTCTTCACTAACTTTGTTGCCCTTCCCTGGACACACTCCAGCACCTCAATGTCTTTCACATAGTGAGAGGCCCAGAACTGGACACAGTACTCAAAGTTCATAAAGCTGAAAAATCCAAATGAGGCTGATGAGAAACATTAATACTTTCATTTCCAAATAGGAAAAAAAAAAGAGGGTTTATAAAGCAAGCATACTTTTGAAGTCTACTGTATACTCAATGACACCTGTTTTAACTCTTGACTACATTTGTTATTCATTTAACACAGACCCAAGTGTATGAACACTTTGATACAGGCACAGCAAGGCCTATGAGGATTTCTTCTTTGGTTTCATAATGTATTTATATCATACTCTGGCAGACCCCAATCTGCACACACACTTCTCTACTCAATGCATAGAAATGTAAATAATTTCATGGATTGGTGTGGTACATTCTTCTAGACAGCTGAGACCTACAGCAATTTAAGGACATTTAATCAGCCTTTAAAATGCACTGATCTTTGTACATGAACCTTCCATACATGTTAATGCTCAGGTAATATTTAAATACTTGTATTCATTTTATTAAACATTTTAGTCCCTTTTTAAACTAGAAACGAATCTTTCAGATGCAAAATCCTTGTGCTCATTGCCCAGGGAAATCCCTCTTTATCTTTCTTTCAATTCTTACAAGTGATATATAAAATACAAAGTAATTTTTTTTATGGCTGTTGATTTATCCAGCATATGCCATTAGAATCATTACAATATGAAGCTGCTTTTATTACAGGAAAAATATTAGCTGAAGCTAAGAAATGCTACATTATACAACTCTGAATTAAAAAATACACCTTGGAACAGAAGGATAAAATATACTGTACCATTAAATAATTAAAGCTGAGTATTCTTCTTCCTACACTGAATTATTGTTATGTGGACACTCTAAATAACTATTATTTCTACTTGTGTATGTCTTCAGAGTTACATACAAGCACTCAAAAATTAGCTACAGGTTAGAAGTTTAGTATGTTTGAGATAAATCATTATTCATCCTGGGCCAATACAGTGTGTCTGTGTGCAAACATGCATGGAAGCTGTAAAAACTCATGTCTTGCCTACTGCTCAGGTAAAATGGTGATGGCTGATGTGTGTAGAATGTACATG